CGTAAGTTGATCGCGCGTTTGATTCCCTAACACATCGTATTGTCTTTGATTAACATAACCTTTACACATTTAAAGAAAAAACTTTTAACCGGATTAAATATCGGATTAATTTATGCCAAAACCCTCCATCTTTTAGTCGATACCAACTCCGGGGAAATAAATACAGATAATGCAACTTTCTCTACAGCTGTGACACTTTTTGACATCCAACACCTTTTGTCTTCAGTCACCGTAGTGATGGGTAGGACAAACGAAATTGAAGTGTTTGTATGTCCCACCTCATTTTATAAAATGAGTTAATACATTGTACCACTTCATTTGAGGATTCTGTTCTGTACTGTTAGTCCCTTTATGTACGAATCCATTGTCTCTATGGCGCAGGTCTTTCGACCATAAAAAAATAAATAAAAAAGGGTGCGTGTACTTATGTACGCGCGTAAGAAGTTATACTTGTTTGGCATTATTAAAAATAGTTTTTGATTGCATGCAAATAATTAATTATAGTTTACATTTGAAAAATTAAATATTTATTATTTAATAAAACACTATTTTGATTATTTATTATTATTCTCTTACATTTATTTATTTATTCTCTTACATTAAGTGTAACATAAATTCTATTATTATTCGAATGTTGTTTTTAAATTATGTCCAATGCCGTAGCATCTTCCGTGGGCAACTTCATTCTGTTAATTTTGTGTAACGGTGCGCGCGCTACGTAAAATTTCACTCTCATCAATTTTTCATAACGCGCCTAAAGAAGTATAACTTCAAAAAGTCAAGTTATTTATGCAAACAAAAACCAATTACAATAATATGTCACAGTGAACAGTCACTGTCACTCATTCAATAATATCGATTTAATCAGTTGCTCATCAGACACGATTTTTAACTATTGTCATTGTCCTACTTGGGATGGGAGAATAAGACAAAACAATTCATCTCAACTCATTCATGACATACGACTCACCGCCTCACTCACATTCAGCGCCTAGCCCGCGTTTGAAAATTGAAATACCTCAACGAGTTTGAAGCGTTACAAAATGTGTGTTTGAGGTGATGCGACATTTGACAACTTTGAGTGTGACATTTGAGGTGCCTCATGTATGAGGTGCGCAACACTAAGTCACCGTGACCACGCACGCTGTAAAGCACGCGAAACGTCGGATAAATTAAAAATTATGTTAAATAATTGTAAATTTATAATAATACATAACTTTAATCGGGTAAAAAGTTTTTTCCCTAATACATGTTTTGGAAAATAAAAATATTGACAGACGCCGGCTCCATATATGGCCATTATTCACTAATTTTACATTATAAGCGGAAATTAAATACTTATAATTTTTTTACTTTATCCGTACCATAAAACACAATATTTGCAGTTCTTTTGCCATGTGTTGAGCTAAAATATATCCAGATACGAAGCGCGGACACGGCTAGCAAAATGGGGGCGTCTCGAGTCTAATTAAATTCTATAAATAATTCTTGAACACCTACACGGCTTAAGCCAGTGCATTGTCTATGGTTTATGGGAATCGGCCGAATCCGTATTCCATTTTCAAACCTCCTTTGACAGATCGTTTGCTTAGGCAGTCTGTAAAGAATGCAAACTGTCTGTCAAAAAGGAAAATGACAGTGTTAGTAATATATCGTTTCAAACATAACGCCCCGTATTCATGGGAAACATTTGTTGAGCAACAAAGTTGAATCAACGTGTTGCGGAGTTGCTGTCAACATGTTGCTGGCAACACTGCGTGTTGCAGAGTTGACAGCATCATGTTGACAAGCTCTCGCCCGACAAGCGTAAACATCAGTTTAGCGACAATTGTTGACGTGTGTGGACGAGTTTGCAACAGTTTATAAACATGGCAGTAGTGTGGAGCAATGATAAAATAATGCAATTAATAGAATTATTTCAATCAAAACCATTATTATGGGATTGTTCTATAAAACAATACAAAGATAGAAACAAAAAGAACGATGCATTCGAAGAAATTTCTCAAGTCCTAAATATACCCAAAAAAAAATGGGACGATATAATACATATGGATATCAAACGGCATCTTCTCATCCATCATCAACACCAAATAATGTTCAGGAAACTGAAATAAGGGAAATTGAGAGACACGAAACAAATAGACTAGATGCATTACGAGACGAAACAGAAGATTCGGCTATACTAAACTTAGTTAACTATCTCAGTGATGAATCAACGCAATAGCATACACTGTTTTTTTTTTTGTGTTTTTTAATTAATAAAATACTTGATTACACAAATAGTGTTCTTGTACCTTGACATATCCTGCTAGTGAGTTAATTAGTTCTTGACATACATCTGGTATAATTTTGCTAATCAATTGTTTTGATACTTTGAATGTGTATGAAAGAGAACTGTATGAATCTCCAGTTGCAAGATACCGTAATGTAATAGCCAGCCTCGTTTGAGGTGAAACTGGCTGACGAATATTTGTTTCCCTTTTGGCTATTGATGGACCAATCATTTCTAGAAGATGTTCGAAATCACTTTTCGACATTCTCGTAAAGTTACAAAATGATCCATCTGTCATTCTGAGGTCACTCATCAAATTTTCTCTTTGCAAAAGATAATTTCGAATCCACCATCTTTTTCTCTTTTTTTTATTAGAGATTCTATACATCTGATACAGAGAACACAACAACACTACCTCCTCGGGCAACATTTTAACGCAGACTGGCGTGTGGACAACCTGTATTGATTTAAACATAGTTGCTAGCAACATTCTCGCCGCTCACCAACAATGTTTAGCAACTGTTGCTAAACAAATGTTTACCATGAATACGGGGCTTTACGCTTAGGGTACTTTCTTGTACTTTTTGGTTTTAAAAAGGTTTACGTTGACAATTAATTAAATATATTCTAAGCACAGTTGTGTTTTAATTAATATCGCTGTGAACTGTGATTACTTACGCTATTAATTAACACGGATACACAGAAGAAAGCCTCTAGCGACTCATACATTACTTTGGGTCGTATTTAGCACCGCAAGATATAATTTTATACTGAAGTATTTATTTATATGTGAGTTACCTGTTTAGTGAGGGCATTCCCTTACTAAACAAACTCCCTTAGGAGTTTATTAAGATATTTTACCTTTGACATAATATCTAATAATTAAAAAAACGTGGCATTTCATCCATGAACTAAAAATAACACCCGATGGGTGGTGAGTTTCTATGGTCTTTCGGTGATCAGCCTTTACCTGATACTGTCGTCGTTTCCTCACTATGTTACCATTGTATGTGTTGAATGCGCAAATAGGACTAAATTTCAATTGGATCTGCGATTCGAACTGTCATACGACACACCGAATTTAAATAAAATAAAAGAAATCTAAACTTGAAATTATTTGATAACAAAAATGATTTTAGAAGAACAAGTATCACGTTTGAGGTATTGAGATGAATGTCCCACGATAGGATTTGTCACAACAATTCCTGGTACATACCGATGTAAGCAGTACCACTTAACAGAAAATATAAAAAAAAAAAAAAATTCTTTGTTTGTTGTAATGTTTTCGTTTTTTTTTATTAATTGTATTTCTTTTTAACTCTTAAGTTTATACGGAATTTAAAATTTGTACTGTGGTGTAGCCCTTCAGGTTAAACCCCTAAGTGGGTTTTTGGTGTTTCCAGCCCTTTTAGTTTATTTATATATTAGGCAATAATGAAAAAAATAAAAGAACGTCAAAAATAACAATTCATATTTTTCTCTTCCTTCATAATATCAAGTAGTCTCCTCCTATATGCACTGGCAACACTCTTATTAACAAAGAAGTTCTTATTTACAAGCTGTATACTTTCTTATTAAAAAAACAAATCGATAACTCGATAATTTCGTAACCAAATTACGCCTGTAGCGGGCATTATTTTATGAGCCCAATTTAGGTGCTAAAGGGTATTATTTGGGCCAATATCGGCTCAATTATAGGCCCTTCTCAGAAACAAATGATTTGTTGTATGCCTAAAATTTAATATGAGCTGAATGCAAGGTCAGTCCCACACAGGGTACTTTAGAATTATTAAACGTTTAAGTAGTTAAATTATGATAACGAGACATACAATAACAAACGTTATCATTTATGTTAAAAAGTGTTTTCACAAAGTACCGACGTCTAATACACTTGGTTCAGTGCAAAGCAAAAAATGTGTCGAAATTCTTAAATCGGTTGAAAATATTTTTTTCCAATATCATAAATAATTTTCGTCTTCCGCGGCATAATACTTGTGTGATTTCATTTTAATACCGGGTTTTCGGTGACTCTAATGTATTTTAGATCAATTTATTAGTTTTGAATTTTAATGCAGTTGTTGACGCCTTAATGAGCGCCCGCGTTCGGCGTCTTAGCCGTTAATCATTTATAATAACAAGAATATCAGTTTATTTGTATGTATATTGGTAAATCCAATCTCTACCTAACGACATTTTATTTAATAATTCATACTCCTTTAATTTACGCCGTGTTATGGGCATTTAAAAACTTTCCCAGCTACCTATAGAATATACCTAACAGAAAGATGTTTATTTCCCTGGTTCATATGTTACATTATATCCACAGGTCGATGGTGGGTGTGCCACAGGCCGAATACATCTACGAATCAGCTACTTACAGTCTACCTATGTTTGTCTTAGAGAGATCTGTATAAGCGGTGTGTGATGTGTGGTGTGAGCTTGTAAGTTTGTAGGTACAGAATAACTTTATATAAGTTCATAATGTTGTTGTTTCTTGCCAGTTCTTCTTGCCCGCTCTACGCCCTTGACTTGCGAACTGGTAGTAAATGTAAATTTACAATTAATTTAACTTCTTTTTTGACGTTCATAAGTGTACTTGTTTACCTATATGAATAAAGATATTTTGAGTTTGAGTTTGTTTTATACTGCCCTATCCTATTTACAGCTAATTATAATTTATGGGGACGTGAAGCGGTCGTTCGCTTGCTGAGCCAGCTGCTCAGTCTTTTCAACTCCTGTCTTTTTTTGATACATCATCGATTTCACCTAGTCTAGTTTTAGTTAGGAGGGAGTTGTGCAGTCCGTATCCGAGGTAGACTTCACCAGGGGTCTCTAGATCCTCGATGTGCATCTCGCGGAGTCGGCGCAGCATGTCTTCGTTTAGATCTTGTGCACGGAGGTGCCATGGATCTATCATATCTGAATACTCTGGGTATTGAAGTTTCTATGCGTCTTGGGAATTGCCCGCGGGTTTTGAGCTATATTACCTATATTACGTTTCGAAACTTAGCAAGAAATAGCGCAAGGGCATTTCTTGCTAAGTTTTTCTACTACCATTCGACTTAGCCTCCTTTAAGGAGTGTACCAATTCTTAAAAAGCTGGCAACACTTTTGTGTTGGTCCATGAGCGTATCACGTCATCAGGTAAGTTTTCAGGCTTGCCAATTCCATAAAAGCGCGAAATATCTGCGCAAAGCAGCCTCAATGTGATAATAGTGTAAGCCAAATTGTTAGCCGGGAACTATATTTTTCTAAAAAGGATCTTAATGTGGTTACGTTAACGCAACTTACATTTTAGATTTAGTCCTAATTTCCAAAGACGCAATTAACTCGTTGACTAAGTTGTAGTCTATGGTAGATGTTAACTAACTATAAAATCTTCAAAATTTTCTTGATTGCTTTTAATATTTGTTTCTTATTTGTATAGCTATATGTGTAATAGTTTAATCTGGCTGGAGGTAGGTATTCTTTAGATACTAAACTATATACTAATTTTGTCACTTCCTTTTCCTATTCCTTTAGAATTTCATTCTTAATAAAAAATAATACCGACCATAAACCATATTCTAGAATATATACATAGTTTATGTTTTATTTCTGTAATTATTGCAAGAAGTATATCATACTCTACGTGACCACTTCGAGGGCATCAGAAACACGTTTTTGTATTAATTTTTTTATTGTATACAAATATACTGTCTTTAGTCGTCAATCTCCAAGGGCATTTTAAGCTATTAAAACAGCTGGAACAGCTTAATATTAGCTGGACGGATCAGGATCATGTCAAGAACTGGTGAGCCCGCGGGTAAGTGGGCCGATTTGTTGTTAACTCCTTTAATTTATAGCTGTTGAAATGTTCCTCTTAAATTGTTATATTGATGGCGCTCGTGAAGCATAGGGTTGCCACAACATTCTGAAAAAACAACGTTCAAGCCAGCACGCCACACCTAAGTCCGCACATATATTATGTTGGGCTCGTCTCATAAAGATACCCATAAAAAAGCGGCTTTCTCGTTGTATAATCAAATAATAAGGCCATATTTTTTTTTTTCGAGCCATGTCGACTGCGCCTTCAGCCTAAGAGCGTGATTATTGATTTAATCATTTCTGTCAAAAAGCCAGAGTTAACACAAACCCGTATTCTATGTGATTACTATTTTATCTGTGGATAGCCGAAAAAACGGTAAAAGTACATTCTATAATTTTAAATTCCGCACTCTTAAATTAACCTGTCATCCCTGACAGAGTCAGAACGAAAATAATACCTAATAGGGATGGTCCTAGAAATTAAATAAATGGTTGGCCTCCGAAACGAGAAACAGAGGTTGCGGAGTGTGTGTATATACGTATTATATATATATATATAGTTAGAATTAATATTATTCTTAATTCTAAAAAATATCAAAGACATTGACAACCCTACTACCTTGCTCCGCCTATTACCTCAGCGAGCTAAAGGCGTAGTAGGAGCCAATTTAAACTAAACACACACACAAACAAATTACCCATTCACATTTATGTACTTAGAATAATACGCCTTAACTACCAACACTTAACCGGTAAACCATTATTATAATTTTTATATTTATGAGGTAATTTTAAAATAAAATAAATGCTTTAACAAGACCTAATAATTAACAGTTACTTAAGAAAATTATATGGTAACATTCGTTTTGTATTCATAATTCAATAATAAACATATTTCATGAGCTATGTTACGGTTATAAGAACATTTTATTATTCATTTAAAATTAACACATATCCCTCAATTGTAATCTAAAAATTAATATATATCTAAGTTTAATTAGTAGTATTAAAGATACTTCATATAATACTTATTTACAATTTTCTTAACTAAAAACAATAACTAACCTTAAAATATATATAATTTTGTAGACATAATCCATACACTTAGGTAACAAGAATCTTTTTCTATGTTGCCAATGTCAATGCTTTAAACAGACATTCCTGGTTTCAGAAGTTTTATGCCAAATGATGGATATCGGCGAGCGAGATTGAACTGCGAATTTGGAGACATAAAACGGTAATGTAGTTATAAATACAGATAAAATAATGTTAAACACAAAACTACAAATACTATACACAACTATATAAAGCACTAAAATAAAAAATACAAACACTTTACTCCTAACTTATAAAGTTGAAATTTAAAAAAATATAGGATAGAGGGTAAACGAGCCTACGGGCGCCTATAAAAGGTAGTAATGGACACCCATTTTAGTGGATCCGACTTTTGCTCTTTTTTTAAATAATTGAAGGTCGTATCTAACAGGAAAGACCTCTACCGAGACTCCGCAGTTCGAGTTCTTTAACTCTGTTTTAGATGACATGAGCAGTGTTGGCCTAGTGGCTTCAGCGTGCGACTCTCATCCCTAAGGTCGTAGGTTCGATCCCCGGCTGTGCACCAATGGACTTTCTTTCTATGTGCACATTTAACATTCGCTCGAACGGTGAAGGAAAGCATCGTGAGGAAACCGGCTTGTATTAGATTCAAAAAGTCAACGGCGTACGACAGGCACAGAAGGCTGATCACCTACTTGCCTATTAGATGACTAAATAATCATAAAACAGACGCAGAAATCTGAGGCCCAGACCTAAAAAGGTAGCGCCATTGATTTCTTTTTTTATGACATTAATATGTTTTGCAATAATTAAAATTATTTCATTTTTATTTGGCTTCACAGATTATTATAAAAGTGTTCTCTGACTGAACCAAAAACAATAGAAGTCTGACAAGACGTAGGGAAGTTTTACAAGAGCAATATTTCTACATACTATTATCTACACTTGGTTTAACCCTGACATCTACCGTCTTACGACTATGAATGAATCATACCCTAAGCGCTTAGTACGATTCCCGTATGTCAAAAACATATTAGATTTATGGTCTAACATTTAATGGAATTTTCCCACCAAACGCTGCTAAAGAAGCCGTTTTGTTTGTTTGTCTATACTTCCGGCACTTTGTGAGCGGCTAAACTGAACCTAATGGTGTTATCTCTATAAACAACTTTATGTTAAATACAACCTCCAAATGTTTATTAAGAAAAACATTACTAAAACGATCTGTTTTTAATTATAAGGTGTGGGTGGCCTAACCTGTTTCAATAACTTCAATTGTCATAAATATTTGACCATTGACTCGTCACCAAATTTATTTATTCACTAGCTGATCCGGCAAACGTCGTTTTGCCATGTTTACCATTTATAATAAAAAATAGGGGTTGATCGTAGAGGGGTAAAAATTAGGGGTTGTATGTATTTTTTAATGCTGTATCATAAAAAAATAAAAATAAAATAATTTATCTAAAAATTTAAAAAAAATTGGGGGTTGACTACCCTTAACATTTGGGGGGATGAAAAATAGATGTTGTCCGATTCACAGTTATACCCAATATGCACACAAAATTTCATGAGAATCGGTCAAGCCGTTTCGGAGGAGTTTAACCGCAAACACCGCGACACGAGAATTTTATATATTAAATCTAATATAATCTAATAGTCTTAACATTGAAAGCAGTGTTGGCTTTGTGGCTTCAGAGTGCGACTCTAATGACTCATCCCTGACGTTATAGGCTCGATCTTGGGCTGTGCACTTTATGTATACTTATGTGAAGGAAAACATCGTGAGGAAACCGGCATGTGTCAAATCCAAATATCGACGACATGTGTCAGACATATGGTTGATCACCTATTTGTCTATGAAATAAAAATTATTAAAACAACGAATGCAATATGAGGCTAAGACCTGTTTGATGGTTGTAGCGCCACTAGATTATTATTATTAAGACGCAGAAAAAGTTCTAACTTATGAAACAATTAGACTAAGATTTCAAATGCGCAGCAGTTAAATAATTGTTAAAAGAAAATACTAATTCCCGTGTATTACAAATCTTCAGTAATGTACATAACAAAACAATATTCTTTGAGATTTAATGAGAAAAATTAATAAACTATGCAATCTGTAAAACCTTAAGCGGTTCTAATACAGCAGAAGATGTAACACTATCGAGAAGTTTTTAATCATCTCTATGCCTTATAGCATGTTCTAGAAGGACATACGTGTGTTATTTATTTAATCTCACGAATTATTTTTAGAAAATAATTTAAATAGAAAACTAAAACGAATAAGTTTGGTCAATGTCGCAGTGTACCTTTAATGCTGGTATTTGCTCGCTGTATTGCGATACTTATTCGTTGAGCGAGGAAAGCACCAGCTCTGGGGTCACCGGTACTACTGGTACCAGCCGCTAACTTAAATCTTTAATTAGCGTCTGTGCACTTGAACCCCACAGTCCAGGACTCTCTAAAGGAAACAAAATCAAAGTTGTTAAGAATGTTTGTTTGTGTGGGACTCCTGTGTGTTTTTGAAAACTATATGAAACAATTTAACATGCTGTGGGAAGAAAATATCTGTTTGATTTGCAAATGAAAATCTCTAAATATGAAAGTACCTCAAAAGCGTTACCAAAAAAAAAATGGACCATTGCCTCAGATTGCATGTTTCTTCTTTCTCTTTATAGCTTTCTGTGCCTGACAAGTCGACTTGCTTACAAAAGTTGGTCCCTGGTCGTACGAGCAAGTGTTCTTAGTGCACATAAAAATAAATGCACAACCTTTGATCGCACGTTTAACTAGACAAACACAGATTAATATATATCTAATTAATCAATGCCATGAGAGCTATCCGAGTCATAGACAATTGCTACTTACAATACTTGAATAGCGTAGGACTAATAAATCAACGGTCAACCATAACTCCATTGTTAAATATTGAGTGTTGACCTTCATTAAACTTGAGATAAATCTATTAGATTACATATGAAACTGATTAACTTTGTTACTCATACGTTTCGACACTATTCCTGTACTAACTGCAACATCATTTAATTATTTATAAGTACACATAAATGCGCAAAATAAATATAAGGTAGTGCAAGTGTTTAGCAATTGCAAAATATTTTTTTGTATGTTTGTTTTTAGTCGCTGACCTATTAGGTATTGCCAGCCTTAGACGTGGGGTAGGCCTGAGTTTGTATTTGAGTTGGCGGGATGCGGACAAGGCCAGGCTGTTACCGAACCCTGCTTCGGGCGATTGCTGGTGGCGTAATCGGTATGCACAGTAGCGAGGTCCCACGTAACCCTCCACCACAAGGTAGCCGCGAGAGGCATTTGCCAACGCGCAATTGTTTTGAATTGTTTTGAGGGCACTGTAGGTATTGCATTTTCTAAGCAATAAACCTGGTGCTGGTCGATTTTCACAGACTCTTGGTATATCAACTGGTGTCGAAAATTTCCTATCAATTAAAAGGTTTAATTGTACTAAATATATTTCCATGTTATTTCATTCTTCCGTTATTGGTACTATCCGTTACTAATATAGATTTTGAATAATTAATTAAATTTTGTCCACTAATATGCAGACCGTACCAAAAGGCGCACATAATTGGGCTTAAAACAAATTTCCATTGATATTCGTGATGGGAAAAAAGTATAAAATCGCTGTCGATGAGATGTATATGTAGTCGATATTCACCAAAACACAACACTAAAATACCACTTAAAAACCTATCGTGAACCTTAACACAACGAGGGAGGGGCGAGTATCGATATATTTATCGATAAAAATATCTTTGCGAGCGCATAATAGCCCACTTACGAACGCCGCAAATTGTTGAGAATTGCATTGGGTTAAACAAGGTGTCAATTTGGCAGAGTTATGAAAGCTGATGTTCTTGGAACTATTTGTTTTAAGACGTATCGCGCTTATACATTATTTGTGTATTGATTGGCGAAGCAGTGGGCGTTGCTTTATGATATGTTTTATTGAATGCGAACTTGAAATATTATAAATTGCCTTATCTTGTTTGTTAGGGCTTGCAAACAATATTTTTAAGGTGTTTGATCTTTTATGAGATCTTTAAAGAACAGATTTCTATTTGTGATATTTCATTAAACACTAAGTAAAAGCTTGTTCCTATTAATAATCAAGGCAATAAAATAGTTGGATATTAAAGAATGTCAACGACCGCATTGCAATAAACAATAAATAGCCACTTACGTTAAATTTCATTTTACTATATAAATATAATTAACATGCAGATAAATTATCGATTAAAACACAATTTATCGCTACGCCACATCCCTAGAGCGTCGAACAAGATTTATATCGCGTCATTACTTATAAAATATTTCTTTTAAACATATAATTAGTTGTTATTAATATAATAAATAATGCTCGTTGCCCGAAGCTCGAATGGATCCGAGACACAGGTTGGGGATTAAATATAGTATAACATCAAAAAACGCCATAATATTTCCGCACTCAAGTACAGCCTTAAACGATCTGCGTTATTAAATAAAAATGAGAATTGAATCAATGTTTTCATCGATTTATCAAAAGATAAAATTGATAAAATTATTGTAATGATTATTTGCTTATAAGTCCTACTTTAATATAATTGATATAGACATTTAAACATTACTTGCGTTTTTCGCTCCCTTCAAACTGTTTATATTTAACCTGTGATCATGTACGTCGAAGTCGTTTGGGTTTTAACTAGTGTTTAGTTAATGGAGATGGCGGCATAAAATGCTACCTTTAATTTTGTTTAATTACCTCAGAACAGTCTAAAATGTTTATAGAGGAAATTATTACTAATGTAATATGATTGTGAGACTAGCTTCTGTCCGATGAATCTATTTTAATACTATGAATATAAATTTTAGAAAATATATTTATTGTAATAATGACAATAGAAAAGTTACCATTCACCTTCACTTATAAACAGTTCTAAAAAAACTGTTTCGGTTCTAAATAGTCCGAAGACCGAACGTCGTCAGAGCTAAAACTGTCAAATGTCATTTGTCAAGTGTCATCTATTAAATTATGCCGTACCGTTATAATTATAATATAGAATATATTAAATTCAATACATTTTACGTCTTGTGAATATATTTGCGTATCAATCGATTTTCAACGACAACAGAGTCTATACTCTGTTTCTATAAACAGCTCAACCTTTTCATAGATTATATAATATCTTGTTTATGCCACACAAATCAATTTTCTGTGCGTTTTGGTTTCTTCTTAAATATTTTATGTCTTGACTTGACTTGCACGTATCATCATTGTTTTATTGTTTATTATATTAATTATTGCTATATATGCTAGGTGACTGATATTTTTGTATATACCAGAAGATACGTGTCAAATGTCAAACGCAACATATGAATATGATGCCATTGACAAGTTTTTAGCCGGATTTCCATAGCAAAACAACGATTTCACAGATAATCAAATCTAGGACCACGATGATACTATGATACGATGACCTATTTTACTACATATAGCACGTAAAATTTGTTTAAAACGTATCTCGCGTAAATGTTAGATCAAAGTTTATTCCTGAGCATTTTTTAAAATTCAGAAGTCCCCTTTAATGAGTCGATATTACTTTAAATGAGTTTTGTCAACATTCCGATTTATACCTGAACACATTATAAACCAGACCAGTCATTATGTATAATTACATTCTACATCGGCAATTTGCGTACCGAAATTACAGAATTCAAACCAAATTATCCACGAGAAGTCCACCATTTTGGCGATTTAGGGTCTTGATACGGTCGAATGTGAATCGTAGCGATTTTTGACGTGACAACGTCTTATTAATCGATGAACGCCGGCTGCACGCACTAAAAGCTCATTGTCCCGTTACGCTCATTGTAAGCTTGCGCAGCATCTATCTCTCGTCCACTCGAATACTGAAGTATGCAATCATTTCATGAATGTTTTGCTATGACGTAGATACGTTAAACTATCGTCCGTAAACCGACTTTACAGACAACTATTTTTTTAATCTAATATTTAATTTGAGATGTAATTAATACATCTGTCTCTGTTGATCATAATTTCTTTCTAATACATAACAATCGTTTTATTGATAAATGAATTGAAGAGCTCTGTGGTTTATTTGGTAGGGTTTCATGACTATTATTTATAATATGTTTTCTTAAACAAGAAACAGCCTCTCACAAGGGACTGTCTATCGCGCTTTGGACAAAGAGATGTTTTAAAAGGAGATAAAAAGTTTAATATTGACCCTATGGAATAAATGTTTTCTCTCTTTGTGTACGGTTCGCGCGTGTTCTATCTATGTAGACTTCATAAATACGACGACCAACCCTTTCGTGTGTAATTACCCTAAGGTAATTTTAAGTTACGTCTTTAAGTAAACTTTATCGGTAAATTTCTTAGGTCATTAGTATTCAAATTTCGCTCTTATAGACGTTGTTTTAAAGTTGATTAAGTTAAGTTTTTTAAATCAGCAAACATAAGGCTAGTGCTGGGCCATTATTGAATTTATTTTAAATAATAACGGTTAATCACTCGAAATCATCGAATAAGGCTCCGCGGAGTTGATAGAGTTGTGATGTTTATCGATATTTTCGGAATCTTATTTGTATGATATTTCTAGTCTTGTTTTACAGTTATTTAAAGAATTTTTTTATAGAACAGGGGGCAAACGGGCAGGAGGCTCACCTGATGTTAAGTGTTACCACCGCCTATGGACACTCAATGTCAGAGATGTGTTGCTGGCCTCTATTTATTTAACACTTATCTGTACATCTTGTTACGGTGGCTTGTTAGTAATGGTAGGTACAGCATGATGACCGTTCTTAAGCGAATTTTGATTAAAAGTTTTTGTTAATACTCCTTCTTAACTGAATAATGCAAACTCTTCAGTAGGTAATTCCTGTTTATCTCTGGCTATTGAATAATTGGTTAGTTTAGGATATCACAAAATGCCGATAAACCTGACCAAAACATAGATCTGCCACATATCACAAATTTCTATATATTCGTGGTAAATGAATCCTAATTTACGATATTAAGAAGATTATCGATATCGATTAAACCGGAACTGCCCTAGCGCCCGAGGCGGGTGGTGGGCGGGGCGGTCATTTCCTCCAATAATTTATACCTTGCATCTTTAAATAATCGCACTTCAGCACTTTTAGCGGGATTTAAGCACGCACTGGTAATTATTGGTTGGCTGTTTGCGTTTATCTAGAGTAATAACTCCTAATGTTTGTAAGAGAAAGTAGAGCGGGAAAAAACTTTTTCAATTTTTTAAGTAATACTTCTTCTTGTTTTGGTGCCTCACCATTACTGCGGTGAAAAGAAATAGAGTACTTATTAGGTGTGGGCCTTAGATTTCTGTATCTGTTTCATGATCATTTGTCAATCTAATAGGCAAGTAGGTCAACTGTTTGGGTCTAAGGCCGGTTTCCTCATGATGTTTTCCTTCACCGTTCGAGCGAATGTCAAATGCGCACATAAACAGAAAGTCCATTGATGCAGAGCCGGGGATCGAACCTACGACCTCAAGGATGAGAGTCGCTCGCTGAAGCCACTAGGGCAACATTGCTCTATATAAAAATTATCTATATATGTATAATATATATAAAAATGAATCCCTATTTCTCTTGGTCACGGCATCAAGCGTCTGGACCGATTTCGCTAATTCTTTTTTTCTTGTGTTTGTTATTGTCAGGAGAAGGTTCTTATGAAAGAAAAATTTAAGAGAATTGCGCGGAAAATTAGAAAATTAAAGAATACATAACCACCATACAATTCAAACTTTTTTGATGTAACGTTATGGCGTTTGACATAACATTGACAGAATGCGTGCTGCAAATATCATCAAAGAGGATGTAAGAATATCGTTTAAAACAAATGCTTCGATCGGAGTTATTATATTGATAAAATATATATAAAATAACTAGTGGACCCCACAGACGTTGTCCTGCATGGTATTTAAAGCGATTAGGACATTAAGCAAATTATAAAAGTACCGACTGCAGTGCCATCTGCCGGGCTGATTTGTGAATCTAAAACATTCAAAGATCCCCTTTTTTTTTTTTTTTTTTTTTTTTTTAAATATAAATTTCCCACTATCCCCGACTCTTGTGGTGCGGGACCTTATTTTGTACATATATTTTGCAGAAACATATACATACATACATACACTAAGAGATTTCCTAATATACATATATATCCATATATAAAAATACACATATTTCTATTTTATATTCATGGGCCAGTGGGGGCCCGTCTCACCTCTGCTACGCTCTTGTTGCAGCGAGTGACACATCTCCCTTCAAGATCCCCTTGAAAACACACAAAAAATTTCATCAAAATCGGTCCAGTCGTTTGAGAGAAGTTCAGTGACATACACACTCACAGAAGAATTATATATATAAAGATAATCAATAAATTTATTTCAAAAAGGTAAAACATGTACTATACTTATAACTAGATACGCACGCTAC